GTGAAGGTACATCACTACCGGTTCTCACAAATCCGATAGTAATGAGGCCGACAGTGATGTCCGAATCTGTAGCAGTGATGTTCTTATCTTTCTACACTTTGTTGGAGTACAATGTATAGAGTACTCTAACAAAGTGTAGAAAGATGGAGAGATGGGTAAAACAGACCCCACTGACTCTATATATCTCTTAGCTTGTCCTATAAATAACTCGATGAAATGATTTTTTGTCTTTAAAAAAACAAATACAAGATGTTTCTATTCTTATCCGTTCAAATTGCGTGATGGTCGGCTCTTCGAGAAGATGCATGTTGGCACATACACACAGCAAATAAAGGAGAGGCATAAAATTAAACATGCCTAGCTAGCACGACCGTGCACCATAACCAGACAAAAATCTCTCAAAATAACAGCTGGCCACAAATGCAACACACATCTGTTAACACACAGCAGCTAGCTAGCGGTTCTAGACACTTGGTGGATGAGCCTATCTGTCTATCTATCTGCTACACTGCTATCTGAATCCCCTTTGAAGTCTGCTGGCTGCTGGCTACATGCAGCTGATTGGCTGGTACATCCTGACCGTTCAGGATGTGGTGTGTTGGAATTTTGGTGGCGCTAAACAGAGATATTTATCTTCAGCCGCATAAATATCTCAAAAGGCAACTAAGAACATATATAAGATCATTACTAAATGTTATTGTGTAGGAACTTATTATTACTACACCAAAGGCATATTATCTATATTACTATATACAGTGCCTCCCTTTTTTTTAGAAAATGGAATTTTTTTGGCCTATGCGACAATGCCTCTCTTGTTACCATGCATTTATATTCAACCGTAAATTATAGTTTATAGTTGAAAAACATTTGAATTGATGTAGTATATATAAATGTTGATGATTTTGCAAATATCCCAGTGATTATGTATGTATAAATAATTATCTCAAAAATTGAGGCACCAACCATGCAAAAAGACGCTTTTGGTGCGAAAATAAAACATCTTGCTGAAAGATCCTGCTGCCTGGCCTACCATATGGGCAGCGGAAAAACCTCATCCTAAACAAAGAGCCAAGATTAATTTGGTTGGCTAGAAACGGCTCAGTTGGCCCCTCTCCTCTATCATTAGTGGTTGAACCCAGGGGACTCAACGTACGGGGCATCGCGACCACACATCCTAATTCGTAAATAAAAGGCAAGTCCAAAAGCGAGAAGAGTTTGATGCTACGCGCATACGGAGAAAACTCTGTTCACGCCGCTGCTGTCGCTGACACGAAATAGCAGCGGACGAAACTCCTGACTCCTCTCACTGACATAAAACAGCACTAGCTACCAGTTGCAGCATGTGGCCCGTTCGCAGTCGAATGTTGTGACACAAACTTTCAATATGTGAAACTTATCCAAATTATTAAGGGAAAATCTTGCAATCCCAAATTATTGCATTAAATGGAAAATGAAGGCGCACAAGGTAGAGAGGGGCTTGTGGGGTGTGCGTAGCACTGTTCCTCTCGGTACTGGACCAATCACCGTCAGCCATGCACACACGCTAGCTTCCAAGATCCTGCGGGCCCCGCGCTTAGCCTCACGTGAAAAGGTTGCCGAGCCGATAAAAGAGCGCGCCACGTAGGCCTGAGAATCCGGCGCGGCCAATGGGAGCACGCCATGTCAGCGGATAAGGGAAAATCATAGGACCTTTTCCGTTGGGGTGGATGGGATGGGCAATCAGTATGAGGCTTAAAGGCGTCCTAGCTCGGCTGTTTACTAAAATGCCCCTGCAGTTTGCTTTTGGTGGTTACAACTCCACAGGAAATGCATATTGTTGTTATGTATGTAGGTAGGACATATATGAACAAAATGTTTTGGGTATCACAAACTCACAATGAATTTGTTCCAAAAAAACATTCATATATATACATATGAAATGATGTGTGAGGGTAGTGAAACTTACACTACTTTCTGCTTGATTTTTTTAGAAAAAAAAAGAAAAATCTTTTATCCGAGACTCCGTAAGAGTTCTGCACTCAATCATTCATTATTATAAAGTTCTAGCCTCCGGTTGATGAAGAGAGTCTTTCAAAAGACATAAAAGCTGAGAGACCAAATAAGACTAATAACAAACTAAGCCCTAAACCTATTCAAAGGTAGCCCGTAGCCACCCATTTTTGATGAAAATATCCATTGTCATAGTCTCCAACACTTTGCTCGATTTGTTTGTTGTTTGTTACAATCTTCGGAATAATGCATGGTTAAAAACAGTAATATTCACTAAGTAGAAATTACCGAGATTTATTATCTAATATTATTTTGACAATGTAGAAGTACTTTTGGTCACAAATCTATTACCATTTGTCAAGTGACAACTAACCACTTCGGTAAAATACAAGTGTGTACCTATGTCCTCCTTGATGAGCAAGTGCTTTTAAAAAGGGACACATGATATTTTTTAAGAAATATGGCGTGCATTTCTTGATAAATGGAAATATGATTTAGACACCCCTCGTATGTCTTAGATACCCTCGTATGATTCAAAAAAAAAGAATCTATAAATGACGGATACTATCAGAATTTGGAATCTCATTTCTCCAGCTACATTTAGCTATATATCGACCGCACTTGGTTGGACCCCATGTTGTTCTTGAATTTGTCCTCTAACCGAAATAGAAAAGGAGGCAGAAATAATAATAAAAAAACTCATATGTACTTCATTCAGGCTAGCAGCAAGTAGTGCTGAATCTATCTATGCAATCGACCAAAAGCATGTATACACGTCACAGGAAATGCCAACATGCAAGTTTAAACAAATGCCATTGTACTAATATATTTATACCAGTCCATTATAAAAATATCACAACAAAAATAAAATACGATTATTACTATGGGATGCCGAATTACATTAGTAGTATATTTAACATGAATCTGCACACAGACATGGAGGCAGCATACATCAGGACAAAGGGTGGTACTTGACATTTCACCAAGAAAAAAACATATGGGAGGAAAGCTTCAAAGATTTGCTTTTCATACAGCACAAGAGGCATGACGACAAGACAAGCTGTATTAGTCCAAAAGAGAATGCCATTAAGTAATGCTTATTCCCATGTTTCATTGGCCACTGCCGTCTCTAGCTAGAAGAAATGTTATTGACCCCTAGCATGGTTACAAGGAGACAACCAAAGAAACAAAATGCCAATTAAGCTTAAAAAAGCTTGGTGCTCAAATAACTTATTTTTAATTATTTTATTTCTAAATGCCGCGAAACCATTATGAGATCATAACGTTTAGAAGAGTAAAAATGATTCCAACAAGTCCTAACAAATTGTCAGATTATTGCTTACAATTTTCATCGGTTGTGATCACCTCTCCTTGTGTATAATTCTTATTTTTGTCTCCTTTCCTCCACACTTTGCCATTATGTTTGTTCAATCAAAGGTGTACTAGCAATTATGGGAATCACACATATGGTTCTTGCTACTACCAGCTGCCTTACTTTGTGAGACAGACTTGCAGTAGTTGGGTGGCATAGAAATAAAAATACCTTCAGTCATCCAGTGAGGTTCTTCCAAAAAGAGAGGGAACGAGCATCTCCAGCAATCCCCCAATACAATTCCCCCAATAAGATGGTATTGGGGTAGCCCAATATCACTTTCTAGATTTATTGGGGGAGTTGCTGTAGCAGTACCCCAATATATCTCCTACAATATCCATATAAAAGGTGGGTCACGTAGGAGTGTAAGAGAAAATATGGCTCAAAAGTAGTAGTTGGGATGTGTCCCATGGTATTGGGGGAGTTGTATCTCCCCCGTTCTTTGAGGGGAGACGAGAGAAATATTGGTGGCCACCAAAAAAAAAGAAAGAGGTACTGGGGAACTACTGGAGTAAGGAAAAAGCATAGATGTCTTCAATATGACAGTTTTATGGAGATATGGGAGGTATTGGGGAAGTGCTGGAGATGCCCAGGATGGTGAATTTTGGGAGGTAGGACAAATTGGTCTCATGTAGCCATTTGCAAATCTCAGATGACACAAGCAAAGCAATCCCAACGCATGTACAACCTAGAAAGGATGAATAAAAAGAGCACATAAGGGGCTAGTTCGGCTGGTGCTAAAAAAGCACCGTAGCCGGCTAAAATTTACTGTAGCCGGCTGATTCCTCTCACATATTCCTTCAGATTGATCCAGATTTCTCCAAACGAACGGGGCCAAGACTCCGTTTGCCTACCATTATAAGCTGGCTTCAGCCATGGTACAATATTTTTCTCTCCTAACAAATCAGCTGTACAAATCAGCATAAGCGGCTTATAGACCAGCGGAACAGGGCCTTAGAGGAGAGGGGAGGGGTGCCCAAAACGCTGTGTGGGCCCTGCAAATGGCATGGGTCCCACAGGCAGCAGGGGAGAAAGGGACCTGATGAGAGGGTGGCTTGTCTCATTCTCTGGCCTCCTATCCCAAGCCCTCTAAAACCCCACCCTGTACCCCCTTCGCTTGAACCCTTTCTTCCTCCTCCCCCAACCAGCTCCAATTCCCCCATAGTCCTATTTCTCTCTCAACAATCTCTCTCTCTCTCTCTCATCCTCCAAAGGATCCAAGAAGTACCATTGCTGCTCTCTCCATTCGTCCCCAATCCCAACACAGCTTCTCAACTCAGCTCAGGGAATTCCCCTGATTTTTTTTCTTGTGCTCTTGGCTGCATCTTCACTCTGCTTCTCCTCTTCTTGCCACAGAGGAGGAGTGCATGTGCAGCAGCTGCAAAGACAAAATCTTTTTTTTCCACCTCATCTTCTCCAAGGTGTTGTTGGTGCCCCAGGTGGAGGCAACTAGCAAAGTGTTTGGGTTCTTGAATTTTTTTAGGGGCCCTGATCGATTAGGTTCAGCCATTTCTTGCCCCGGTGTTCTTGGATTCATGGTTGTGGAATTAATCCAAGAATAGCTGGAGCTGCCCATTTTCCCTTCCAAGAAGACGAAGGCGATCGTTTGAACGGTAGCTGTTGCTGTTGAGGCGGTGCAATGTCGTCTTCCTGCATACCAACCGGCCTGCGGCTGGACCTGGACATGGTGAAGGCGGCGGCGTCACCGGGCGCGCACTCGTCGCCGCTGCGCCCGGTGCACTCGTCGCCGTCGTCGACGCTGTCGGAGGCGTCCAACGCCTCGTCGTCGGCGACGTCGGTGTCGCTGAAGCGGGCGCGCGCGCCGCGGAAGCGGCCGAACCAGGCGTACAACGAGGCCGCCGCGCTGCTGGCGTCCATCCACCCCTCCGTCTTCCCCGTCAAGAAGAGCCCCAAGACGGGGCCGCCGCGCCCGCCGTCGCGGCAGCTCTCCGGACTCGCGGCAGCGTTCGACGCCTCCTCCGATCTCCTCCCGCCGCTCCCCGTGCTCGCGGACTCCGCATTCCTGCTCCGGGACATGCCCGCGCCGTCGCCGTCGCCGCAGCCACAGCCGCAGAGCCCGTCCGGCGGCAAGAACTGCTCATCGCCGGCCCCTGTGAGCAGCGCCTTCCGGGACTTCCGCGACCCGGCGCCGTCACCGGCGAGCCCCGACACGGTCGACGTGGACGAACTTGGTGAGATCGACTTCGACGACGACGGCTTCGACGCCGAATCCATTCTCGACGTCGACGAGGCCGCCGCCGGCGCCGCGGCCGAGGGCCTCGACGGCATCATGGGCAGCCTCACCGTCGAGAGCAACAACACCGCCACCACGTCCGATGACTCCATCCTGTCCAGCTCCGGCATACACCCTTACCTCAGGAGCCTCATGGTGGTCGGCCTCGCCGGCAGGTTCGAGCTCGGCCTCGGATTCCGGCACGGTGCTCGGCCCAACCTCAACCGCGCACTGAAGCGGCGGGACGACGACGGCGCCTGGTGGATGTGGCCGGCAGTGCCGGTAAAGGACTTGACGATTGCACCACCGACACCGCCAGCACCGCCGGCGTCGAACGCCGCAATGCCACAGGCCGCCGCCGCGCCAGAGAAGAAGAAAAGCAAGAAGAAGAAGGTGGTGAAGGTGGAGAAGATCATGGCGAAGAGAAAGGAGGTGCTTCCCAACGCGAAATGCAAGGAGGAGGAAGCTGACGCCTCTATTGATGCCGCTAATGGCGACGGTGACGCTGACAGTACGCCGACGAAGGCGCCAAAGACCGGGTTGGGGCTGAAGCTGGACGCCGACGAGGTGCTCAAGGCGTGGTCCGACAAAGGGTCCATGTTTGCCGAGGGCAGCGGGCCGGAGTCGCCGACATCGGCCGCCGAAGTGCGGGTAAGTAATAATTCGGTACCATCTGCAGACATCTTCAGTGTTCTTTCATTTAAAATTTTGAAATTCTAAATATATTTAGATGTATAGTAAAAACTATGTCTAGAAAAGCCAAAACAGTCTACTCCTACAATCTGGGACATAGGGAGTAGAAAAGTTCATTTCAAATTGAGTTCATCAATTGCAAGAGAAAAAAAATGGAATTTTGAATTGCTTCCTTCAAGCAAGTAAACCATATTAGGAGTCTCTTGACAAACTGTTTATCTAAATGGATGGTCCCTCACACAAAGTACTGTGTAGTATAGTACTGCACGGCTACATATAAGTGAGAACACGTCTTTTTCAGAATATCAGCGGTACTGCAGTAACCCATAAAAAATTATCTAGAAAAAATATTTCGTTTTTGTTTATCAGAGGAGAAAATACAGAAATAGTGAGCCTTAGAGGCTTAGGTTTCAGTAAGCACGATTTTCAAATTTCGATAAACTACTTTCTGCTCTTAAGTTCAATGTAATTCTGTTACACCTATAGGTGAAGATCTGTTAGAGAATAGATTAATCCAATTCACCCATTCTATTTGGTTATATATAGCTCGTTAAACTCAATTATTCAACAATGGACCACAGACAATAGAGCCTGGAGATCTGGTACCAAGCAAACAGGTCTGTCCTCTTGCAAAGGGTCATTTTGGGTTCAATTTTGATGCCCCTTAGGCCAATGATAGAGCAAATGCAACAAACTCTAGCCCCAATTTAGTTGGCTTTTCTGCAATTTGATCTGGCACATGCCACTATTTGGACCTGTCATATTATCATATATATGACAAAACCATAATTACAGATATGTCCAGCCAGCCCTTTATAGTATGGGCATACCAAGCATGTGGTTTCCATTAGAGACTTTTCAGTGATGATGATGATGCAAAAACAATCTGCAAGTATCTTCTGAATATCTTTCCGTGCTATATGAAGTTCTGAACTGAGGAATGGGAGTTCTTACATACAGTCTTACTGATGAAAATTACATTGACCATTGTTGCAGGCTAAGCTTGCAGACATCGACCTGTTTCCGGAGAATGGAGCTGGTGGTGGCATCAGGGAAGCCAGTGTGCTGCGGTACAAGGAGAAGAGGCGCACCCGGCTCTTCTCCAAGAAGATCCGGTACCAAGTGCGCAAGGTGAACGCCGACTGCCGGCCTCGGATGAAGGCAAGCACTTGAACTGATTAGAAAGCATAAAAGATCTGTTCGTAAGGCAAATAAAACTCACACCAAGAAATACCATGTGTTCAACATTATGATGCAGTTCATCATAGCAAAGCTTCTGAAGTGCTGACATGTCTGTGTTCTGTTCTGCCGTGGTTCTTGCAGGGAAGGTTTGTTAGGAGCCCATCTCTTCTTCAACAAGCCCTGGAGGAAGAGAGCTAGCTAGACAGTGATCCTTGCTAGCCTTTTCTCTTTTTTTTATCAGCACCTTTTTGGCCTTTTAGTTCCTCATTAGCTAAGAGATGTGAGTGAGAATTTTACCCCGTTTTGTTTTTCTCGGAGTTTTTCTCTGGAGAGGAGAAGAGAGGATAGGATGCCTATAGAGTGGATTGTCATGGCATGGTGGTCAGATAGTTTGTCTCAGGTTTACAATGTCAGGTAAAGGAAGGAAATAAAGTGATGTTAGAAGAATATACAGTCATACAGCAAGCAGCTCAGATGATGGGTTTTGTTTTGCTTTTACTGCTCCAAAATTACCGACTGAATATCACTTTGCTCTGTAACATCCATTGCGAAGAAAAATGACTAGAAATTAGCATGGATTATTGTGTAGTAGTAAGCACTAAGTATCAACTGACAGCATCTGCTGTTCATGTATTAGGCTTGCTACTGCTTTGGAGAGGTAAATTACCTGCAGCTGCAGGCATCCAACTACACGAAATGACGAAACATGTACTGCAGTCACTGCCAAAAGACAGTAGCAAATCAAAACGAAAAGAGAAAAACACTATAGATCTCCTTGAAACTTCATCACCACCTGGAAACTTTGCAATAAAAAATTTATTTCACAAGGCGCGCATCAAGTAAGAATTATAAAAAAATAAATAAACCAACACGTGGCTGGCTGAAGCTGAGGTTCAAGATATCAGATATTTCAGATGGTATCTTTTTTACCTGCAGTGCATCGGACAAAAGAGCGAAATGATATGGCAGAGGCACGGACCTGCTCAGCTCAGTTATCCACAGACATCTAGGCAAAATTCCGGATTTTTCTATTTTTAATCCAATTTTAATCAATACTTTAATACTAATAAAAAAAAAGAGTATTTGCACAAAACTGACCCTTTTGGTCGCGCCAGCGCAGATGGCGCGACAGTACCACGGTGTTGCGCCACATGCGCTGGCGCGACAAGCCGAGCCATGGTGGTGCCCGACGTTGACCGTAGCTGGCGTGGCGAAGCGTGGGCCCCGCCCTGTCGCGCCACCGACTCTGGCGTGATAGAGCTGTCGCACCAGGTGGGCTGGCGCGACAAAGGGAAATAGGGTTTGGCCGCCCAGCCCACTTTCCTTTGTCTCCCTCTCTCCCTCTCCTTTCCTCCCACGCGCCTGGGCGCCGCCGCCACCAACTCGGCGCCACCCCGCCACCTCCGGCCGTCCTCACCGTCTCCGGCCGCCACAGGCGAGTTGAGCGGCGGCTGCTGCTGTCCTCTCTCTCCCTCTCCCTCCCTTCCTTAGTGCATTGCTGCGGCCAGGGAGCGTGAAGGCGCGGCCTCCTCGGTGCCTTGCCACGCGCCTGACCATGGCGGCGCCGCTGCCAGGCATCTCCAGCGCCGGAGAGTGGACCTCCCTGCTCTGTGGAGTGCAGTACATTGCCAGGTTAAACTCCCTCTCCTCGATTTCTTGACTTCTTATGCTATTTGTTGCTTGACTAGGGTCAGGAAATTAGGGATGCTATGAATGTTGGTAGCGTTGGTTGTTACTATTTGATGCGTAGATTATGTTTAGGATAGACTCTGCCCATGGATTGGATGTAAACTACGTGTTGCATGGACCTAGGTAGTTGATGCATGGAGGATTTAGATTGGTATGTTTGTTGCCTTTGTTGACATCACTGTGAGGTTTGTGATATTGTAGAGTAGTAGTGAATGCACACAATTTATTTTTGAATCTGTAGTTGTTGTTGGTGTTGATGTGTTCATTCCTATTTTGTAGATGGATCGGTTAGTGCGATTATTTTATGGTGGCAAAGTTAAAGGAAACGGGGAGTTTGAAATTATGCAAGAACATGTTCAGTTCTTTAGTACATCTCCTACCTTTGGTGGTTTGGTTAGCCAATGCCGAGATAAATTTGAGTGGCCACTAAGATTGAGAGGTCAATTTAACTGTGGGAAGGAACGAGCACACTATGTGTTGATGTCTTTGTCATGTGACGATGAATGGAAGAACTACATAGAAGTTGTCAAGAGTAGTAGTGTTATGTGCTTGGAAGTTGTTGTGGAGAAGGGGTGTAGCCCAATTGTGGTGGTTGTGGATGATAATGTGGATGTGGAGCCCGTAGAGAACCTTACCCAAGACGAAGAGTTACAGGCGGTTGTCGTTAGAGAAGTTGATAGGTCATGTGAGCCCGGTGCCTTGAATGATGATTTCGATGAAGAAACGTTTGATGAGGACGGTGGCAGCGGAGATGGAACACATGATATGGATGACATATCCCAAGGATCGTACAATGACGAAGTTGATGTTGCCTCCGTAGACGAAGATGACTTGACTTCGGGGTCAAGTACTTTGGATGATGTGTTGGAGGACGAGTACAAGTCCGAGCCTAGTAGCGAGGACGAAAGTGATTGTTGTGAGGGAGGGTTTCCGGACACAATAGAAGTCCCAGTTGATGGGTCATTGAGAATGGAGTACAATGATGTCGAATTGAGGCAATTGAAGGTTGTCCATATGGAGGTACCCTTGGTACCAAATTTCATGGATATTAGTATGGTTGAGTAGGCAATATGTGACACCGGTTTGACGTTGTTGGCCTATGAGGTACCAGATAGTGAGGAGGTGGAGATTAAGAAGGGAATGGTATTTGATACATCGGAGCATCTGAAGTATTTCCTGATGGATTATGCCGTTCGGTTTCACAAGCCGTATTATATGAGCCACTCTGACAAGAACAAGAGGTAGAAAGCATGCCCAGCTGACACGAGATGCCTTGACTACTTCGCAAATGCCGGTAAGTCACAGTAACACAATGGTGTTGGCTCTGCTGGTTGGAAAGTGTAACACCCCGGTGTTATGCCTACATTTAGGCACTACAAATCACGCATATCATGCATCATCAAGCATCCAAATCATACATGCTTAATCATGTGAATAACAATTGAAACATTGCTTTGAAACATCTGAAACATGCGTGAAACCTGGATGTTGCATACACCTGTTTAAGGATTGTTTTACCCTGAATTTTTCTTGCTAGGTTAGCAAAACATGTTTGGCTACTATTGTAAATCATCTAGCAATGTTTAGTTCAATTTTTGGAGCAATGTTTGTATTCAAATTAATTCAAAATTTGGCTTCAAAAATAAATTCCCAAAATTAGGGTTTTGAGCTAAACGTAGACTTTGATCTTACAATTCAAAATCTAGAAAGAATTTGGCTGTGGTCCTAAAAGCAAAGTTGTAGAGAATTAAATTCTAAGCAACTTTCATTTTTGGTACATTTTCAAAAGAGGTCATTTTCTTGCTCAAAAATAATATTTGAAAGATGGCATTTAAAAATTCCTTGAAAATACAAATGAAAAAGGCTTTTTCCTCCTTCATGGGTCCGCCTCGCTTCGCCGCTTCGCTCCTAAGCCAAGCCGGCCAGCCGGGCCCAGCCAAGATCCTCTCGCTCGCTGCTGCCAGCCCAGCCTCAAAGATCACTTTGCCTGCCTGCCGCGCTGCCTTGCCAGGCCACTCGACAGCAGGCTGGGGCTTGCCCGCCAGCAGTGGCGCCACCCCCCGACGGCAATGACTCGACACGCGTCCACGCGCCATGGTAGCTCTAGCATGCTGGCCAGACTTGAATCCTCGCTACCACCGCATTCCAGCGCTCCTCACTTCTCCTCTCTCGCGCGCCGCCATCGCCATCACAAGACTGCGCGCGCTTTGCCGGAGTCGCTCGCCTGCCACCTCGGCTCTCGCCGGTGACCACTCCGTCTAGCCTCTACCCCCGCCACCCCCGCGCACCCCGTGCTCTCGCTGCTTTGCCGTGGTAAGCATCCCGTCCTTGGGAATTGCTCGCCGGAGCACGGCCGAGCCCGCTGATGAGCTCCGCTCCCGTGGACTCCCCCTTTCCGCTCCTCTTCCTACCTTGATTTCACGCGCACAACCACCGTGACGAGCTCGGTGAAGCTCCGCGCACCCTTTCATTCGCCCTACCCGGCCAGAGATGGCCATTGTCGGAGCAGCTAGGCCGCGCCGCCCGCCATGCGCGCGCCGTCAAGCCCGTCCCGGGTTCCTCCTGTGCTTTCTCTTGGTGCACCGTGTTTGCCTCGTCATGGGGTGAGCTCTTTGGTGGTGTCCACACCGCCGGCTAGTTTCGCGCCGTCGGCGAGCCGCTTGGCTTGGCCGCCGCCGCCTATCTTGGTCGACCGATGTGGGGGCCGTTGACCGTGGGGGCCCGCTCGTTAGCGCCTTGGATCGGATCTGGGTGCACAGCACCGGGTGCACCCAGCAGTTTTGTCAGTTGATTCTTTAAAAGAGTTTAAGAAATGATTTTTCAGATTTCTGTGAAATGCTTTGAAAAATGGTTGTATGCTCAAATTTGCTCCAAATTTGTTGAAACAAATTTTGCTAGGTTCCTTATCAGCAGATCTACTTGGGAAAATTATTGCATGTCATTTTTGAGATACTTTTCTGTAGAACTTTATTTAATCATGTATATTGCTGATAACTTGAAAAATGTGTAGAAAAATCTATAGGCTTCAGAAAAATATGATTCCAAGTTTGTTAATCTTCTTATGTCATGTACTTCCTAGGAAAAATAGGTTTCATGCATGTGCTGTGGGAAAATTTTTAAGTGTAGTTCAAGTACCTTTAATGGCTAATTTTTGTTATTTTTGTTAGAGAGCAAACTTTGTATAAAACATGCATGTGATAAATTTTGTACAGTCATTGTATGCTATGAAGAACATAGGAAAAATACTAATTCTGTTGTTTGACACTTTTCCCAGTGCAAAGTATTTTCATGTTCATGATCATGCCATAACTTGTCATTTTTGTGTAGATTATTTTACTCATCCAAATGCCATAAAAATTTTATGGTAGTCTACTTAGAGTATTACTATGCTACTGTAATTTTCTTAGATTTTTATAAGCACCATAAATATAGGTTGCTGTTGTAGCCCTAGTTTCAAATGAAATAAAATAATCATCTTTAATGCAAGTTAGTTAATAATGTTAGCTTTGGTGTATCTTTGAAGCATTTGATAAGATGTGTTGACTTAACCTATTAGTAGTAGAAGAGAATGCAGTAGATGACATGTGTTTGTGGCATATTTTCTTGGATGATGTGACTACCTTGCATTCGAATATATCCATTGTATTCATCTCATCCGATGCACCGATTGCATAGGCACTTACACGCATTGCATCATACAGGATCGCAAACCGAGAACCCAGTCGTCATTCCCGAGGAGCCCGAGGAGCAGTTCGAGGTGCAGCCGCAGGAAGTGCCAGAAGCCGACGAGGAGGGCGTTGAGGAACTTCCGGAGTGCCCCGATCACCGACCGAGCTCCTTCGAGAGAGGCAAGCCCCGGAGCATCTTTCTCCCGGTTTGCAATGATTTCATTAAATACTTTACTTTAAATTGATGCATTACGTTCAGCAGTTGTTTGCAACCGTTGCTGCATTATACCTTGTTTACCTTTGTTATACTATATCCTTGTTACCCTGGTATCCGCAGTCGAGTCAATGCTTAGCTGGCTTAGACCGGTAGAAGTCGGGTGATTTCCTGTCACCTGCGAGCTATAGGTGGTTACCTGGATCTGCTTTGATGACTATGAAGTCATGATATAACTAAGTGTTAAATGAAGTTGAGACCGGACGGAGACTTGCAGAGTTTTGGACTGTAGTGTTTTCCTCTGTGTCGATTAAGGACCGACCGTTGTTGGGCCTCGAGTCATGTTAAACGCATGCCTTACATTTAGCTGGCCGGATAAAGTACCTTCCGACCGCGAAGCTGGGAGATTTTTCGGGCCGAGTAGATTGCCCGCAGCGCATTGTGCCGGAGCAGGTGTGGTAGGACACAGGGGCGGGATGATAAGACCAAAGTGCAGTCGGTTGGCCTCCGGGTACATGTGGTTCCTGGCAAACTCGAGATACCTAGAAAGTTGACTCGGTGATCAATATCTCACTTTAGCGGGTGAGTGAGGTTTGTGTAAGGAATAAATCACCAGCTGGTTAGGAATCGATTCGAATCGCCATCGCTCCTGGATAGTGAGCACTTGACTTGAGTGACTTCATCGTAGTAAATGTTTATGGAACACTTGGACAGTTATAGTGAATATGACAGTATGGAAGTTATTTAATGATCAGTGGTTATCATTATCTGCTTAATCATATGCGTGCTCTAGTATAGGTGCAAATCTAGTCGACAGGTTAATAATAATTAACTTGACAATAATGCTTTTAGAAGGGTTCTTGAAATGCTAAAAATGCTTCTTTTGCAAATGAGTCAGCTACCCTACTATAAAGCCTTCATAATCCTTGGTGTCATTTATTTTTGGTTATGTCGGGTAAGTCTAGCTGAGTACCTTCTCATACTCAAGGTTTTATTCCCACTTGTTGAGATGATGGGCGATGTATGTATTACGGCTATTGTATCAACTGCCTTTATCCTGCGATGGGTGATGCTTAGGACCATGGGCATGGTCATTCCTTACGTCTCATCTAATGCTTTTGTTGGAGATGATCATTCGCTGGCACTATATTTGAACTCCGCGTGAGTGTGTGGTTGAACAATTGGCTTCCGCTACTTTTATTCGAACTGGTTTTGTAATAACTATGTTTAAACTCTGATGTACCTGAGATTGCGAACTTTTATGTAATATGTGATGGTGACCGCTAAACTTATTACGATCTTGGCTGGAATGGAGGTTGGTTTGAAATCCTTCGTGATTTCACGGACTACCGGGTTATACGGGCTTAAGTTTGCTAAATCATCTGCCCTGGCGGATGATTTTCTCACTTAATTTCGTATAATTGGTCGGTTCTGTTACAGCTGGCATCAGAGCATGGTTTAGCGTGTTACTGTTCACAAGTGTATTTAAAACAAAAAGGCATTTGGAAAATGTGATTTTAAAAATATAAAGTGTGCCAGTGATCATATCCTTTATGCCCAGTTAAGGACTTTAGGTGGCTTAATTAAGTACTGACTGGGGTTCTTGCATCATATTTCTCTTTCGTCGCTCATACGGCGTGCTATTGTATGAGTGCCACTTGTTTGAGTGGTAATGAATGGATCATTTGCCTCTACGCCTCGGTAAGTGTGAGTTGTGAGAGCTTGATCGGATACACCGCCGATCTAGGGTGAGTGCTTATATGATGCTGGAGTAATTACATGTTCTACGCATGTTTTACAAAGGTATCTCATGTATGGGTCTTCCGTCTATGGAGGCGATGCCGTCAATAGGACGATGGTTCGGGTAGTTACTACCGTTGTACACGTATCTGGGGATTCGTGTAGAGCGTGTAGATAAAACTTTACTGCTTTTATGCATTCATTGGGAATTGGGCTGAAATGAATCTTCTGCAGGTACATAACAACGCTATCGTGTTGAACGTATTAGCTACGTATTGAGAGATCGTTTGTATGCCACCGAATTCGTCGTTAGAAATTATTTATTTCCTAAGTTTGTGAGAACGTACAGCACGTTCATACATCATGTTACTTGTGCATTTCATTCATGTCATGCATTCCTCCCCTTATAAATTGATTCTCTCATTTTGATAAAAGTGGTATCA